CTAGTTAGCAGGCTAGAGTCTCGTTCGTTATCGCAATTAAGCAGACAAATCGCTCCACCAACTAAGAACGGCCATGCACCACCACCCACTGAATCAAGAAAGAGCTCTCAATCTGTCAATCCTTCCAGTGTCCGGGCCTGGTGAGGTTTCCCGTGTTGAGTCAGATTAAGCCGCAGGCTCTATTCCTGGTGGTGCCCTGCCGTCAATTCCTTTAAGTTTCAGCTTTGCAACCATACTTCTTCCGGAATTCAAAAACTTTGGTTTCCCGGAAGCTGCCCGATAAGGCATAAAAAGAACCTTTATCGGATGGCTAGTCAACATCGTTTATGGTTAGAACTTGGGCGCTATGTCTGGACGCCCGCCTTTGAACCTCCAACTCTCGAACTTGATCGGCGACAACACCCTTGGCGAAGGCTTTCACTATACAAACGCATAGTCACACATCAATACACATTTCACATTACAAATCATTCTGGTCAACATTAAGAAACAGAAGTTGAGCTAGACCGTCAATAGTAAGCTTTATACCCGTTACATAGAGTTGGGTCTGAGGATCAAACACATTCACCTCAATTGCTAATAATTTTTCTTCAAGTTGAAGGGAGGTGTTGACGATGTCTTCCATCAGCCATCCTTCGGCGACGAGCCGTGTCCACAGCGTCTGCCAAGTCAGAGTGTGGTTGTGCTGTGACGCCAGCAGCTCCATCATTTGTTGTTCTTGGCCGTCCATGGTTGCTTTGCAGGGAGGCAAAAACTTGTATAGAGATTCGCAGACAGCGTTAGGGATGCCTTATTTCGGCCGTACGTTTCCACACTCTTGCTTTTCAACTTTGTCGACACAACTTTGTATGTTTGACCCTTCTTCGCAGTTCTTTCTGGCAAAGCCCTCGTTGCAACACTGGCGGCCACTTGCCGTGCCTCCTCGTGCGTGGGCTGTGCAGCGTGGGGTTGATGAACAATTTGCCTGGCTAACGATTCCGCAAGGGTGCTGACCATAATCACGACCCTGGGCTGCATATCCAGGAGCCGGAACTTTTTGCCCTAGAAACAGTTATTAGAAAATTAAACTGTGCACTGCCTCCAAGGTATTGTACGTTCGCTCTTTAATCTGATAAAAAACCTTACCAATTGCTGGCCATTAGCTGCCGGACGCTTCTTGGCCTGGTCAGGTGATGGATCGACCACGTTAGCCTGAGGTGCCGATGATAGGCCAGGGCCAGGATCAATGACATTTAGTCTCACGGAACGGCTGCGTTGAGGAGTCACTGACGTCTCCGGTCCAGGGCCGACAGACTTCTCTCGACTACATGTCTGCTTGCCAATGTCCATTGCAAATGCTGAAAATAGAAAAAAACAACGTGAAACGACAGTTTTAGTAAAGTAATATAAAATTTCAGACACTTGTAAATAATTACCGTCGGCAGCACTGCTTCCGTTACTGTCGTTGACCAATGGGACGGTCTTACCGGCACCTGTGAATGGAATATGACGTTAGGGATTCCATACTGAGAGAAAATGTGTCCTTTGTAATGCGGTAAAAAATGACTTACTTTCTGCTGATGGTGCCACCCGCGCCTTTCATGTCGGGACGACACTGCGCCCTGATGTGCGCGCAGGGCAGTCGCTTGGCGTCCTAGCACTCTGCACATATTTTTTGGGCACCGCCGGCTTCAAGGTTATTCCAAAAGTAGCGAGCATCTCACGAAGCCGCACTTCCACTACATCACGCCCCTTCGTGAACCAAACCATTATTTGATCTACGATTGTATTTGAAACTTCATTTGTGCCCGTCTGTATGGAACGATCTACATGTCCTGAAACAAACACATTAAATAAGTATCGATAAAACATTCGTGCACTATAATCTAATCACCACCCCAGTGAGAAATGAGTGTTCGAATCGACCTCGAATCGACGTCGACTGCTCGAGAAGTTATCGTTGGTCCTGAGACGAAGTTGTCGACGAGGCACCTTTGACCACCCGGATCACTAAGCCGACCGACACGCCGCTCAACTGTCACCACCTCTACTATCTGACCGTAATATCCCAACGACTTCGCGTCGCCACTCTGTAGCGATTGTCAGTTGTGGCACTCCGTACCACCGGAGGCACTTCTGATCACTCGGATCAGTAAGCCAACCGCCACTCTCTTCAACACGGCTTTTGTCCCGTCCAGGTTGGCCAGCTAGCGTAAACAGTTTTTTTTTTTGGCTCCTCTTAGCTACCGCCGAAGCGGTTTTTCCAGCACCAACTACGAGGAAGTGGAAGCCATCTGGTGCCAAAAATGTTTCTATGATGAGCGCCCCGACCGGGCGATAACGTGAGCGTGTTCTCGCACGACCCAGGGGAAAGGTGTTCAGTCTTCTTGTTTGCTGAGTCGGGCGGATTTAAATCAAAACAAGGAAAATCAAGAACTCGCCCTAAGCAGTCGAATATGTTTGAGCATCTGGAGAACCACCCTACGAAGGGCAAGGCGGCACCAGAGCACGCAAATGAAATGGCCTGAAAGGGCCAAAACCTTCATAAAGGCGCAGAATTCTAGGGGTATGCGCGGTCTTGTGTATTGTTGTGTTGTATTGTTTTTGGCTTCTCTTAGCTACCGCCGAAGCGGCATTTCCAGCACCAACTACGAGGAAGTGGAAGCCATCTGGTGCCATATTTTTTTTTTAAGGTGAGCGCCCCGACCTCGCACTCACCGGTGATAGCCAACCACATATTGCTATCTCCCCTTTTTTTTCTTTTCTTTTTACATTATTACTAAACAAGGCAATTTACAATACCAATACAATAATACAATATTCAAAAAACAAATATACAAAATCATCAATCAACATCCTCTTCGTCAACAACGTCGTCTTCTTGGAGCAAGTCGTTCAATCGATCTTCTGGTTTCTCCTGCAACAAAGAAATACATTTAACAAACGCACTCACAAACTACCGCTGACAGCTGCCCCCTTCGAGACACTTACCCAGTTGATTCGGAAGCATTGCGCCATGTCATACACTAGCATGGCATCGCTCTCGGTTTTTGCGTGGCCTACCCCAACGTTTGAGAGGACGTTGCCCACAATGCTTTCCATCTTCTGCCTGTCTCGGTTGGCAGCCAGAAGTTCTACAACGATAGACGGTATGTAGAAAGGCCCCCTCATGCCACGGGAGTTCTGAGCGTTTAAGAAGTGGAGCACTTTCGCCACGTCCACATTTTTATGGGCTCTCCACACTTGCCCGTCTTGGGAGGCTTGTTAATGTGGTCCACAAGCTTGGATTGCTTTGTCTTACATATAGGACACCAGTGGGAGAGGTCCTTCCCATTTCCACTTCGATTCATAACTCGGAACTACAATGAAAAGATTCCAATGAGGGTGTGAGGCGCAAGAGAAAACTCTTTTACCGAGCAAGCAAATACTTACCCCGGCCTTTCTTGTCTCCTTTATGGCGAATACGACGTCGTCGAGCTTCGCTGCCTCCTTCTTCTGTGCTATTTGGGCCTTCTTCTTCTGCATTATTTCGTTGAGGTCAAATACCACGTGTGCCTTCATGTTATCCGTGACCTTGAACTCGACCAGACTTTGGTCACTGCTGCTGGCAACCGACGCAGACGAAAGGCAAGAAGATGCCACACTGAAAGCTGGCGATGCCGGCCATGCCGGCGATACTTCAGCCATTTCAGGGCTCAAGGTTGTGCAGGCTGGAGAGGTTGGGCTGACGTCACGTCTTGCGGGAGGCGGGAAGGTCCAGGCATGGACAGGATGGCATCGGCGCTGGCTGGTCTTCTAAACGGATCTGGCCTATCAGACGTGTCCTTATTTAGGATGAATGTTTTACAACCATCTTTTTGACTACGGACCATCGCCTCCTGCCTCTTCTGTAGGGACTCCTTTCTTGTGTCGCCTACTTTTCGCCTCTTGGCTTCGTGCATTTGCTCAGAATTCAGATTTGGGGACGCCTTCCTCCTACCCCGTCTGGGTGTGACCTCCGGCCTCCGTGGTCCCGGCACTACTGGCCGAATGTCCTCAATGAATGGGTTTGACCGCGTCCACCTGGGCTTTGGGATCGCTGGTGTTCTGGTTGTCTGTGGTTGTGGCAATACCAGCACTTCAAATTCCCCCTTCTTCCAGGATGTAGACCCCCTTGAGCAATAACCTTCAAAAGAAGACTAAGTTAGTGAACCAAAACGACCAACCAAAACGGCCAATCGTGCGGAGAGGCATGTGATAAAATAACCGTACCCTGGTCTATATCCTCCTCGTCGGACAGACGGAGGTCGTCGGAGAGGTCACGGAGAGATGGTGCGGATTTGGTACGGGTTCTTCTCCCGGGCGTGCACCACACCCAATCACTAACGATGCGCTTCTCGGGGAAGCCGAACCATTCCCTCACTTGGTGTCGAGCTACGAGATTCCAAATAGGCAGTTGGCAAAAAGAGAAGACAGAAAATAATGTTGCCTGTACCATATATATCGCCCGCAGGATACCGGGGTAGCAACTCTTTGAAGTCCATAGTTCCAACTCAGCTAAAAACTCAGCTAAAATACAGCTAAGGCCAACACGCCAACACGCCAATATCAGATCAGATCTGCGCAAAAGAAAAAGGAAATACCGTAACTCAACATCTGAACAGGTTCTTCAGCCTGTGCAACTACTTCACGTCTGGTCGTTTCGCCAGCATCCCAGAACTGCCGACACCCTCTGTCGGCTGCCCTTGACTCTTCACACAGGACTGCAATCCATCATGAACGCTTCACTGGTACTGATATGGACCGGTGCACGGGACGAATAGGTGACTATCTCTCCACCAGAGGCCACTCGATTTGACACGATCTGACTCACTGACGACGACGATGGAGGGGGCGAGGCGTCTAAGGTCATCACCTGCATTTACTGAACTATTTTCACACGCCTCGAGATCGTGGAGTGAGTTTGACGAAACCCAGCTCAGAGGCGTGAAGCAAGCCTCCGTGTCTGAGGACGATCCGTCACCTTCATCCGAATCGAGGGGGTAGCCAAGACGTGGGTTGGACGTAACTGCAGAACCTGTTCATCACCACTACTCGCCGAGTGGACACCCGTCTCACCTGTTTCAGGACTGACCCGCATCCTCGGGGGCGTGGGCGGTAGCCATTTTGACATTCGGAGAGACAACGACGGCACCTACACGACCAAACCGCCTTGATTTTGGTGGCGTCTGCAATTGAAATGTTTCCGAATGTTTTTTAGCCCGCCCTTCTGCTTTGAAAAAGCTATCCAGCGGGCTTATGCAAACAACCTCGTGTCTGTCTGTCTGTCTGTTCCACTAGAAGGAGATGTGCTAGAGACTTGAAATTTTCAGGGTATCTTAAGGTCCACTCATAGAGAACGAAACGCCTACGGCAAATCCTGGCAACCACCCCTAAGGGTGTGAACGGGGGTATCCAAGGTTCAAAAATTCTCCCA